CTGAACTTCACGAGTAACTTACTGTGGAAATATTTCCACAGTATTTATAGATAAAATATTTCACAGTCAGTGGTATGGATGAAAATTCAAACCGAAATAACACCGTCATAATCATCATGAAACGATATTTTCAATTCATCATATAGTCTATAAAAATGATTAAAATAAACACAATGTGTGACGCTTTGTCAATGAAACTAGATGCATTACAGGATATATGATTTTGATTGAAATTATGGACGAACAAATGTTGGAACTGTATTAAAAAACCGGGATCACCCAGCAGCCTGTTTGTTGTATTATGAGACTCCATAGCAGTACCTATCGACAATCATGAAAGCAGAAATCGAATCTAAGTCCTTCAGTGTTGCACGAACGTTTAGTCTCTTGCCACTGAGTAGCATCCAACGGAGTTCACGTCTAACTTCAACCAATTCACGACATCGCGCGACCACCTACCATTATTTTCGTCAGGTAACTGTCTCACACTGAACACAGTTGAACTCATCTGGAATGAAAGAACAATGAATTAGTATTAAGAATCAACTGACGGAAGACATGCAAGTGAAGTGTGGAATGTTTGGTTTTTATATTATATGAAGACACTCTGTGATTCTGCAACTAACAATAAACTGGTCATTCACACATGAGTTCTCACTCACTACAGCCACTTTGCCTAGATATCACCAAAGTCTGGTCCACAATAGTAATTAACAAAAAGGTGTGAATTTGATTTTAGAGAGAAGTTCACATAATTCCCACCCAACTCGAGTAAACAATGATCGTCGATGCAGATTACAATACGATGATGATCCTCATGTTGATTGTAAAGAAATGAATGACCAATTAAATTCAGTGATATAGACAATTATAAACTGGAGTGATATGAAACATAGAGGAACATGCACGTTTCTCAGTAGTTGCAAGCACTTTGTAAAACTATGTGCAAGATAAAATGAAATATAGTTTTCCAATCAATGCTGAATGAAGTTTACCTCTTTTTTCATTATTGTTGCTGGTTGATCATCCCTAAACTTCATTCATGATATGACGGGGAACCCTTTAAAATAAAACACTTACTGGGGGCAAAGTCTAGATACTCTAAGGATCAGCATTATTTATTAGTCAGATTCCATCAAATGTGGTGGATAACCCATCGATCCTGGCAAAGCATACCGGAAATCAACGTTTCAGATCACAATTTCAAACTATTGTGATAGTCCATATTACATATCTCAATTATCAACGTAGAGAGTTTGTACGATAAAGAAAATCAGAAATAAAAAGCGAATAATAATGAAGAGAATCTGCTGGACCACTTCATGAAATATGGTTGGAGAACAAGTGAAACCAAATGCAAGGTAATTATATTAGAATAGACCATGATGAGTGATAGTTGTTGTCAAATCTGATAAAAGTCTATCGAGAAGAATCCGAAGATGGAAGTACTTCAAATCAGCTTTACTGCACACTTAAGAACAATGAGCTTGACTAGAAATATCTGCAGCATCACCTATGGTGTGCATTAGCTTCAACAAATATGTATTCAACGTTGAGCAATGAATTATTATCCATTCACAGCACTTAACGCAATCAGTCATGAAATGTTTAATCAAAGTATCGGAATCTTCTTTGAAAGCTATTGAAGGCAGGTTCAATTTGTGACTTTGTAAAGTCAAATCTTTGTATAAAATAATGAACCTGTATACTGCGTTTGTCAACAAACGAATTATAGAACGAACCAAAAGAGGTATATAACCGCCCTTTTGTATGGAAATAAAACCATAAACATCATGATTAGATGTGGATTATTATCATCAAAACCTCCAGTCTTATTAAGATTTAATAACGGGGATTGGAATCATTATTAACGAAATGAACAGTAGTTTAACATACCATCATAATCTGTCAATTTTTGTTACAATTCAAGCATTCAGCATCACACAGAAGAAATGACTTTTGGGAGTTCAGACTGCCACAGGACAAATATTTATCATGTCTGTGTTCATCTTACTATATATTACACTGAAGTTGTTTGTAGAAGCCAGTGGTTATTCATACTGAGTAGCTTAGGGGATGACGCGACGACGTTTGAAGTAAACGATATTGAGTATGAGTAAAGCAGTGACATATCAATTCTGTGATGCAGATTCAGCTAGCTAACGATTGACGCGTGTCTTGGATTTCATTGCTGGCTACTAACAAACTCTGCTTTTATTTTTTGTGACCATATGGCAATATCGTAGCAACTCGCATATGATTCACATATAACATGAAAAGACTGAACACTTTTCAGTGCTAAACACTAACGAGAACATTCGAACACCTAATGCAAATGATTGTTTGTAGACTAGTTTCTCATAAATCCATGAGAATGGGACCGATTATTAGCCAATTTTTGTTTAAGAATGTGATCAAACATTGACGCAAACACTTCAGTGTCTTTCTTTCAAATCTCTCATCTTATTACCAATGCAACGGCAGAACAGTTACTAGTTCATCATTCGCTCTACATCTTTTTTCATTCCAACTTGAGTATCAGCTAGACCCTCTAAAATTATTTCATATTTAAAACATTCATAACACCTAGTTATCAACAGTTTGTCAACCAGCTTTCACTCAACAGTGAATAGTCAAATAACGAAGGATTGAGGTGTCTTGGTAAATATTGATGCCTCATTCCCACAGTTTACTTTAAAACAATGAACGACGTCAGTCTCGATTGATATTTCTCAGTATTGAGACTTTAACAAGATGGACATTTACAACGAACTGTTGGCTGATTTCAATGGTCACATGATGACCTATACACGATACTGTTAATTGACAAGTGCAATGTTGTAACCTCTTGTGAAATTACCCATGTTTTTTTTATTGAATGAAAACAATGACATAAATACAGAAAATTATATTTTTATATTTTACCAACAAAGTGACATCAGTCATTATGTAAACAGGCATCAATGTGATATGCGGTTGCATGAAACAATCTTCCATGTAGTGAAATGATTAACAAAATACAAAGTGTGTTTACTAAACTACAAAATGAAAAGAACAAAGTCAACTTAATGAAAACAATTGAGAAACTGTTTGTTGAGACTATGGATACACTCTCTCCCTTCTGTAGAACCATAGCCAAATGCCAATGCCAATGCATACAATAAGGAAAGTTATAACTAATGGTACAACGATGTACACGTATTGCAGTGATTTTCTTTTCTCAATGACTTCAGTTGTATCTGTGGTCATGTTCTGAAATGAACGAAATAGTATAAAGATGACAAAATATCAAATATTTACCAAATGTGATTCAGTGCTTCCACTAGTCTTCTTCAATTCATTTATTAGATCAGTTTCAGTTGTTGGTCCAGTGGAAACCTTGACAATCGAACTCTTCAGAAGAAAGAAAATTTGGAAATACAATTAAATATCAAATATTTCATCATGCATTATACACCATTGTCAGTATTGATGACACAAGTGAATTCAACATTTAGTTACATAATTAACATTTGCACAATATGATCAATGAATAATGATTAAGAATATCTGATACTGATTTAACAGTCAATGGGATAAAAACACACTATCCAACAACTAACTGACGACTTTTGTTTGGGTGGTGAAATTTGTTTCCTGGATGTCACATCTTATCACAATCTATACACTATTCAACAAACTTATGACTGACGGCTTTATTGAAGCAATTCATTCAGGGTACACATTTCTCAACAAGGAATCACAAATACTTGTTTTGTACTTCAACAATGGGACTGCGATCTTTCACTCATTATCGGAACATGCTACACAATTTTCAACAGATTACGCTTCATCATTCAAACTGATTTCATCTTTATTCTTCAACAGTTTACGTAGATATACGGTTTCAAATAGAACATCGGGAATCACTAGACATTCTATGAGCTAAATGATTTAACATCTTTCCAGGCATTGATGTTAAACAACTCTTCTATTCATTGTTGAATATCCACATGGAAATAGAGCATTGCATTCATATGTGCTTAAATATCGTATAAGTAACTTTGATTTATGCACTTACGGTACAATAGAAATCACTACTTATTCTTAACAATGCAAATGTTCTTCCGAAAAAAATTAGTTCAATTTGGAATATCGTAATACTAAGAACAATCTTCGAAGTCTACCAATTGCTTACTTTATTCTGGCAACCATTTACTTTGAATTCACGATCATCCTTACCATTGCTAGTGATGCATATATTGGCTATTTCACACCAAATACACTTTGTATTCGATGTTGCTTCGCCTTGGCATGCTTCACTCGAGTTGTGATTTGGACAATCTTCAGTGGAAAGAAGAAGGTGATTACAGTTCAAGTTATCAAACAAAAGATAAATGAATTACAAAACATGTAACTGTAACCAAATGATGGCGATTTAGCAGTTAAATGAGTATTTGATTCTCTGGGCATTTGTCATCACATTGCTCAATCCGAAATTCAATACACATTCAAAGTCATTCACATTTCCCGAAAACATGTTAGAATTGAATGAAATTACGTTGTAAGTTCAACAATGAAATTTGTCAGGCGAATGTCACGGATGTCAATGATTGTTAATATTAGAAAAGAAACGTGCACTCTAGACGGTTAACGAATCTCGTTAATGCCTTATGATTCAAAAATATCTCGTGTATACCATCTTTCCATACGTAAAATGGAGTACGACATTGTTGTTTCACAGGCAAACTTTATTTTCCATTATGTTAATTCAATCGAACAACAAAAGAAGAGAATTTCTTTGAGGAGATTTCCGACAACCTACAATGATAAAAAGATTCAAACTACGTGGCTACATTCAACAGTGAGTCGTTGTTTGGTGTAACGTCAGTTATGACTGATGGCTTGATATCGTTCAATAACTGTCTGAAATCATACATGAAATTTCCAATTTTATGAAACAAAGTTGATTGATTCAAGTGTGAAAATAGTCAGCTCTGATAAAATAACGTTTGACATACCACCGAGAACTTCATATTCCACTAGCGTTCCACTTTTGATCCATTCGTGAGGAACATCTATTTTAGGATCTCTCCATTCTAATGTGATTAATTGTACAGAAGAAGACAGTTAAAATTCTGATTTCCATTTTGGATATAACATGTTGTTTGTTCGTTTAAGAGGTGATCAAAATAAGCAACTGTTTAATATCTGATTACAGTTAAAATGGTGGTCAAATAACATCCTTATGAAATATGCTCTACATCGCTTAAGGTTCAGAAAGTGACCGATGTTCAACCACTAAATGAAAAATGATATCGTTAAATTGCTGATTCGTTTTACTAAGGTGTCAGTGCAACATCCACACAAAAAATATGTTTATCTCGTTACAAATTGTTTCACAAATAGTCATTATTGAGAGGCTGCAAGTTTGACTGTCTATTAGTGGGTGAGTGAATAAATGAGTAGATATATCGTCTGTCTAGTATCCTCGTTCATATATTCCTGTCTGGATCGTTAACACTATACAGAAGACTTCTCCAAATATCTATCTACAAATTCGTGATGAAGACATTCACACATCTTAGTCATATTACTGGGTATGCCAAATTAGGCAAGCGTCAGCTGACGTGGATCTTGAAATTCTTTTTGATGGAGCTTAGCACAAAATGATAAGACAATACGATTCCGATTTAATCACAACAACTCAAATCTGTTTTGCGATGAGTTTCCATTATGAATTTTCATTACATGTGACACTTGAATCTTGCTTCAAGATTTCTGAACACCAAATTGACATTGAATTTTAAATACACAGTAACATTCGGACAGTGAATTTGCCTAAATTATTCAGATTCAATTTCACACAATTTTCCTCAGCACTTCAACAACACTCCCATCAATTTATTGTACAAACAAAAACAACTGAATATTGTAGACTGTCAGAGACACAAATTCGGTCACCATTATGAACTACAGAAAATCTGCACGTTGACATAGTGATGATCGTGTACAAACAGAAGATAACATCGTGCTAACAGATGACTACTCATGTAAGTCAATGTAAATTAGAATGTTAATAACATTTGTTACCTTGCCCACATTTGAAATAATAAATAAAGCTCGATACAACATCGCCTTTCTTAAGTCCTGTAGGAATCTGAAAAGAAGTAACGGAAGTCTGTGTCAAGATCTGTCAATATGCTACCACCTATATCAAAACCAACCAAAGATTGAAGTGATGTGTCGTCATTCGCATTATCTTATTCAAAGACAACTAATCACAATTACAGTAAGCATACTGATCTCCTCGGTTCCCTAAGAGATATACTCCATCTAATTTACAAAGATATTCTGACTCGCCTAAGTTAACAGCTTCAGTGAAGTTAGATGAACTATCTATTTATCATGGAATGAGGCTATACGTAGTAGGATGAACATATACATCCGTCGGTAGAAGTGTGATTGTGAATAACTACAATGTCGCTGAACGTGAATTCGTTGTCCTGTTGTGGAATTGTGTTTATGTGCTTACTTATATCAATTGCCGTTCATTTCTCAACAGAATTCATTCCACAATTTGTTCTGATTACCTCGAAACAAACAAGACGTATTGAGTTCAACGCTCATATAATTTATCATCTCACCAGCGTTTTCTAGTGATCCAACATTTATTATATTCCAAATCGATCAAGTTCTATATAGTGACATTCGAACAAATACAATGTGAGAAGCGATCAAGATTTTAACAAAATCTCCCTCAAAATATTCAATTATGAACTTTCTCAACAACTGGTATGTAGAAAGCTGAAAATGACCGTTCACGTACAGAACTCTGACACACACTATTTGTCGTTAATTGGCTTGAAGGTATCAGAATTTGTTTACCTATTACATCACTTCTTTGTTGTTCATTATTTTAAAAAGTGCTAGAATAAACTGTGTCATTAACGGATTATTATTAGTTTCATAAAGTCTGATATGCATGAAATAATGGAATGGTCAATTCATTTACGCAGCTTACGTTCTCATAATAGAAATATATCTTCCCATTCGAGTGTATCAGGTGCATTGCCTTGAATGTATCACCTGCAAAAAATAAAATTTTCGAATTCAATCACTCAAACTGAATAGAAAACATTTGAGTAATGACAATCATTGATGATGTAAAGTGTTAATAGTTCACATGTGATCAAACAATCATGGATATGGATACATACTTTTATTATCAATGTTTGTAGGACAAGACCTTCTAACAGCTAAATATTCCTCTGAAATAATGAAAGCAAAATAAATTTGTGTTCATGTATCTGTATAATGAATATTTACCTCTTCCAATAAACAAAATGTGTTTGGACACAAGTTATGATGTTCCTTTCAAGATTTAAGTGAACCAATTCAACTAAATGAGAGTCTAAATGATCCTCATTATTATTTCATCGATATGATGATCAGTATACTCTTAACTGAACTAATTATTGCCCGGAAATATTATCCCAATGACATTAATTTCAGTAATTGAATATAATGAATGGCCTTCATTTTGATATTCTAGGTGTTCTAGTTCGAATCAATCATGTTGTACCAGCCTATTATTGTGATTGTTAGTTGATTGGATGTTTGAGGTGGTGCATGAGGTCAAACTTCATGATCAAACGATTATGGTAATCGAGAATGTGTTTAATATCCAATAGTTCAACGACAGTGAATAAGAGGGACTGAACTTTTAAGAACCAAGTAAGTGACAGGAAGAGTTGGAGGACATCAAATATAAATTGATAGTTAGTGTGCTTCGATAATGCAAACTGATTTCTCACACAACATCGCTTATTATTGCACCTGTGACCAGCTTGATTCGTTCAATCTATCAAGAAGTGTCGTATTGATGAAATATCAGTTTTATGGTAGTTCGAACAGATCGAAGAGTAGATAATTTCCACATGAGCATTTACATCGTTTGATTCATTATTTCTACTCAATCAATTTGTGTCTGTTTTGAATTGGATCACGGTTTTATTAAACATTTTCACTTCACTGTAATGAATACGTGTTGTGAACACATTTTAGGGCATGAAATCACACAAATAAAACAATCATTGTGTACTGGTCAGCTCTGACGAATTAATCAAGTTAAATGCCAAATTATTTATGCAAAATAAAAATGAGGAATGAAAAACATAAAACAAAATCTCACTGAATAATAGAACTCACTTCCATCCAAAATCTCATTTTCACACTGATCATTGCCTGGGAACTGATTATTAATTTCTCCTGCACCCACTTCTCCTTCTAAATCAATTTTACCTGTGTTTATCAAATGAAAACATGCAATTAGATTGATAATCTACAGTGAATGAATGAAAGACTTTGAAATTAACTGGAGACTAGAATGAATTGCATGAACTGTAATTAGTTTGCTGCATTACATCAAACGATTTACAACTTGAACAAGGAAAGACATCAGTAGATGTTTTGAATGTTAACAAATGCCTAAAACTGATCTATTGAAGTAATGAAAGTGACTTCGATTCATGGAATTGAAATGTGAATAAACAAAAATCAGTGAAAATTTTAATTCGAGGAAAGTAATTCTCTTACCTTCATCATTTATACTGAATGTGCTCATATTGGAACCATATAATGTAAAGGGGAATTTCAAAAATATACGCTAGAAATATGCAAACATATGGATTAGCATCTCCGTTGCAAAGTGTAGTTCACTCACATTCCCAATAACCGGTTTCTCAAATGTTCCACTAACCTTTGGAGAGGGCTGGTTAAAGCGAATTAACTGAGAATATTTATAAAAATGAGACTGAATATTTGTATTGGAATCTGATTGATGACTTACATAGTTATATGTCTCATTTTGGAAAATTACTTTTCCATTTCTAAGTAAATCAGATTTTTCACAAAATTCATGACAGTCAAGAAATTCCGATGCAAATACAACGATCGAATAGATCGCTACCAACTGACCAAATGAAAATGTATATCTGAAATGGTTCCGATGAATAAAACAATGTTATCTCATTAGATCAAATTGAAATTGATATAATACACTAAATTGTCTTAATTAAACAGTCAATACTCACATCATTTTCTTGTTTTAGACGTTGGTAGAACGTGTTGAGTTTATATAGAATTTTGTCAAGTGTTTGCATGTTTCTTTCAGATTGGATGATTCAAATTGACCATTAAGATGATCAAATTTCATAAAATCATTTCATAATTATTAACCAATCGTCATAGGAGATGAACTCATTGTTAAGCAATATTCTTACACTTGCTGAGGTAATATAGCCTGATATTGATCCACAGTTGGTTGAAATTCCTGACTCCCCTATTGATGAAAACTATTTTGGATAGGATTGACAATATACTAAACTAAGTAATTAGTGCTCATATTTTCATGAACAAACATTGTGTATTACTTGTAATCACCAGTGAATTGGTTGTCATGCGCGAACGCTGAACGCTTGACAACAGACCTGGTTGAACTCAACTGGTAACGTTTTCTCATTAGAAATGCAGGAGTGTCTCTTGAAGTCAGTCACTGGTGAGCAAATGATTATTATCAGAAGGGGTTTCGTGAGCGTGAGACCGATAGGTCCTAGGTTCGAATCACGCGGGCGGCGAGATCGTAGATGCGCACTGTTGTAGAGTCCCATACTAGGACGAAAAGGCTGTCCAGTGCTTCCAGGTTTTCCATGGTGGTCTAGCTTCAATTCACTGATGATTTCAATCAGTGGAATGAATAACAGTCCATATTTTCGTAAATCAATGATCACTTCATTGGGAAAAGCCTAGACTATTTATGTTTTGATTACATTTGTAAAATAGTAATTTTTGATACTATGACAGTGAATTGTATTTTTGCACCACTAAGATGTAGACTGTTACGTGATTATCATGAATCGTTAACATTGTTGTTGTTTTTGTTAGTAGTAGTAGTAGTAGTAGTAGTAGTAGTAGTAGTGGTAGTAGTAGTAGTAGTAGTAGTAGTAGTAGTAGTAGTAGTAGTGGTAGTAGTAGTAGTAGTAGTAGTAGTAGTAGTAGCAGTAGTAGTAGTAGTAGTAGTAGTAGTAGTAGTAGTAGTAGTAGTAGTAGTAGTAGTAGTAGTAGTAGTAGTAGTAGTAGTAGTAGTAGTAGTAGTAGTAGTAGTAGTAGTAGTAGTAGTAGTTGTAGTTGTAGTTGTAGTTTTAGGTAATTTTGCAGCATATTCACTTAGGCTGGATAAGAATTCATTTGACTGTTAGTTCATTCAATCTTATACATGAAAATATTGTTTATTGGAATAGTGAGCTTCACTTATTTAATCATTATCAATTTCTCATAAGACGACTATTCTGTAACAATCTGAACTGAAACTCCATATTCTTCATATGTACAGGTTTACTAAACATTTCAAGGATGAAGAGAACATTTCACTCAGTACTAACTAAATTGTCCTGTGTTGGAACCGAGTTCATGTTCTGTAATAAAGAGTATAACGATTATTATTACATAGAATTCAGAATTGATAATGATCACACATTTACTAAGATAATAAATAATGCGCATATCAATGAATGCAAACATTCTGGTAGTGTACACGCAAATATATTCAAGGATCAGTAATGATAGATCTGAACAGATTGTTTACTTTTCATTCATGATCAAAATATAAAAGCAGATTTCTCGAATCTAATATATTTCTGCACAACATGCAATACATGGATTTCAGTTATACTGTGAATGGTGATATGTTTCATCTTCTTATTTCAGCAACATCTGACACATATAAACCTCGTGACTTCCAAAGAATTTCTACTTTCACCATGAGAAGTCATAATTCTTTGAAATAAAGATTTTGCATAATCATATAGTTTAAATGATATTTTTAGATCAGAAGTTTCTAAATATAGTTATATATGAACAATGATGAACATTCTCATCTGTTACCATGGCAATACTTAAGATGGTGTGATTTGTGAAATAGGAAGGTCACTTGATGAAGGTCGGAATGATTTGTAGTAAGGTTCCAGGTTTTTGTCAATATAATAATACTAATAATAATGGTGATAATAATAACAACGTTGTGTGAATATAATATGTAATAAAAAGAGTATAGTCAAGGTAATTACGATGAAAAAGAATCAATGTGGATTAGGAAGGAGA